ATATCAGTGGATTTCGACAAAGCACTGACAACATTGTACTAGATAAAAAGCTGCTCTTATTCAGTACCAATATTCCTTCTCAATGCGAAATGGGTTTTGAGAAGGTTGTGGTTGCCGTCTAAGGATAACCCTCAGGCATACCGACATATGGTTATTATCCTGATGTTCTCGGATCTCCTCCTTCAAACGATCAGCTTAGCAGTGGAATGCTCGGATTTCACCCACATTTACTTCATGAAATTCACATATGTCTGGTTACGGGGAACATGCTATATCGCTGCTATCATTTTTCAAGCTCTTCTTAGTCAAAATGCTTCAGGGTTTCCCATGTTTAATAAGTAAAACTTCATTTGCGAAACATTCATCTGCAGGCAAATTCGGTTTGAAAGGGAGAATCAACTGGATCCGTTTAAATTTCCCGGTTATGATGGTCCTCAAATGAAGGTGTCGCACAAAGGCCGTCCCACTTTTCAGTTGGTACAGCATGTAAGATAATGCAGCATGTTTTTTTGGAGAAAACAGCTCACAAGTTTTTTGGAACTCTGACGACCACGACCGCTTTCGCTGTTTTTGGGGCTTATCATAAATGATAGGGCCAGTTTGAACCAAGCTGGGTCTCCAAATAAACCCAGATTGATGTGCAAACGAGAGTATCCCACTATCCGAACATCTTTTGTGAGGAATAACAGTTCGGTTTACGGTTTCTGCAATTTTCTCCAGTTAGGTCCTGGGGACATCTGTCAGGTTTTGTCCAACAGGATTTCCTATATCATACCGCTTTCAGCCAGTGTCTTTAAAACGACCCTTAACAATGTCCGTAATGGGGTTATGGTAAACAGGCGCAGGTCACTCTACTCATGAGTAGTCAGAACCAAAAATAAAATAACTTCTGATCACCGTTGACTCACGGGAGGAATCCACAATTGAGGGGTTTGATTTACTGTAATGACTTTGTAAATTCTGATGTCAGTATACATTTCTGGTGAAGTTATGAGGAGTGGGGACTAGGATCAGTGGACCTGATTTTTATTCAGGCCTCTTTTCTACAGATGTTCGGGTAAGAAAGCCTGAACTCAGCATTCACATCAATAATTTCAATGAGTTAAACTTGAATTCCATCGTTAGATCCTTGTACCAAGTCCCGATTTGAAGACAACTGAGGCTGAAGGATGATAAGTTCGCAATATGCCTAGTTAAATCGGATGGGAAATCAAACCGCGTTTCAAATTGCAGCCTCTACTGCAAATTGGAGCGTCAGCATTGGGACCTAAATTTAAAATTCCAGCATCGGATTACTAATTCGTGATAAAAATGCTGACCTCGCTTTAAACAACGAACTATTTTATTCATCGATCTCGAAGCAATTGTTACTTAGTTGGAATCAGATTAAATGCTGGGATGGCGTCCTAGGACGGACTGAAATAGTTCGAGGTACTATCGATTAATCGATCGAAGCTTAAGCCATGCGC